GGAGTCGTAGGGAACATTTCAGTTTCCTATCTATGAAATATACACATTTTAGTGAAATTTAAGCATAGGCTCTTAAATACAGTCCATTTAGTTTGGTTACTGAATTATCCCATTTTCTGTTTGTTTGTTTTTTCATAATATGTTGGAGCAACTAACTTGAGGTTATCCACATTAACCATTCATACATAGAGATGAACACATAAAACAGTTAAAACTAGCAAAGCTATGCAACTGACCTAGTCGAACCTGTTGTGTGAATACAACCAATTCCTCACAACATTGGTGACGTTTAAAACAAGTGGCACAGTTATTATCACAATACTTGAATGAAATGATAATGGCAAAACAGATCTGAAATTGCATCCCCAAAGACTGACAAAGCTTAGTTACACAAACAGAGAGAGAGAGACAGACAGAAAGACAAAAGCGACTAATTTTATAGAAAGGTTGAATGGTATTACATCATACAATACTGTATATAACAAATTCTAGGAATTCTTGTTTGTAACAAACGAAGACTACATCCCAGTTTAGCTGGGATTATTGTGTCAAACAAAGTCAAACTTAGTGTCAAGTTAAGCCTAAATTCTTTTGTTCCCTAAAATGGAATAGATGCCCAATATTTTAAGGTCTAACTTGAATTTGATATAGTCTTTTCCTTTTGCTCATAAAACCTTCCCTTATAAAAATGGACAGTAGATCCAAGTAATCTGTGGCTTAAAGCACTGGCCACATGTAGTTCTTCAACACCACTTCTATGGCCATGAGAATATTCCCAGAGTAGTGAAGCTGATTTTTTGTGGCTATCTGAAGATTTTAAGGGGGAACTAGAGTCACTTATTTCAAACTCCAGAAAAGCAACAAGACATGGTCCAATTTTCCCAGTTGGTTTACAGGACTAAAGAATTGGCTTCAGGCACTACTTCATCCTTTCAAGCACTAAAAATATTCACCCATCCCCAAAGGTTGAAATGGTTCTCCCCCATTGACATCCTAATATCAGTAACCATGCTCCATGTGATCCTTGGAAGCAAAGCATTTTTTAAATAAGATGAATCATAAATATGTCTCTCTCTAGATGTTGATGATGAAAGGGAAGTTGTGGTGAAACAAGAATGGACTTTTAATTGAAAAGACAAAGAGCCCATCTCTGGCATATTCTGGGATTAAATATATGCTCAGAGTACTATGTAGCCTTTCTTAATTTCAAGTGCCTTAAATCTCTGCAAGACTTAAATCAAACATTTCATTCCTTAACATGCCTCAATGAGCTATTATGCAAACAGTTGCTGTATGTTAATTATCCAGCAAATATCTCAAAGTAAATACCACAAGCCTGAATTCTACCCATCCCTAGTCAAAGGCATCACTTGGATTATATTGTTAGCATGCCTGGAGAAAAGTATGGTCATTTGCAATGTGGCCTGCTTAGAAGACAAGAAATGGATCATTTTCCTCCAAGATTGGGCAGAACAAAAGTCTTCCCAGCTCCAGTCCTCTACCTATCATTGATGCCACCATATTGCCATAATTGATAATCTTTATGATGACTTACTTTTTCTTTCCCTAAAATGACTAGCCACAGAAATATATTCATGACTATGTAATACAGCAGTGGTAGTCAACCTGGTCCCTACCGCCCACTAGTGGGCGTTCCAGCTTTTATGGTGGGCGGTAGGGGTTTTGTCCAATACTGAAGCACTTTCCTTTTTTTTATTTAATTGACTTTTTAAAAAATTTTCATAGCATTATTTAAAAACATTTTCATTAGGTTTTCATAAAATTCCCTGTGACAATTTAAATTTCTGAAAATATACTATTTGTATCACCCGCGCATCAGTTTAGTTCACGTTACGTAAGTGAAACTAAATGGCGCTATATGTGACTGCAAACAAAAGAGCCTCGTCTCAGAATAGCTCGTGCATCTCCCCCCTCACCATCCAGCTGTAACAGACAAGCAGAGCTGGTAGCCGGTGTCTCCCCCAAACCCACTCCACGATTCGCGAGAGGCATGCGCAGACGATACCGGTGGGCGGTTAGAAAATTTTACTACTAACAGAGATACAAAAGTGGGCGGTAGGTATAAAAAGGTTGACTACCCCTGTAATACAGCATACTTTCTTAACACAATTCAAAAACTATCCACAACATGTGGCACGTTTCTACAAAACTTTTTTGTAAGGTGGGACATGAGGAGAAAGACCAAGAAGGAACTTTTGTAACTATCTCCAAAACAGACAAAGATCTACTGAGTTAACGAACATGAACAGCTGCTAAGAAACTGGTGACTTTCTGTAGTGTGGATTAATTCAGCCCAATACTCATGCTGGCTCGTTACTTATGGTTGGTCAGATATTAACATATCTGAATCAAAGCCTAATGTATCTGGAAGATAACAAATTAAATAAGTTTGTTACATTCTCTGCTTCCATGCATCAAGCTTGCTCTCTAGAATAGTCAAGTGGAAAGTATACCTAATATTTCTGCCATTTATTGCCACAAACACATCATTTCCAGCCAAGCTGAGCTGCTATGGATAAATTGCTTCCAGGTAAAAATTTTCCTTTTAATAACCTGAAGCTTTTTTAGACTGGAGAGCAAGAACTTTTCATTAGTTACCTTTGCACACTTTATGGGCCACTTTCTGATATGGGAATGATTATTAACAGGGATCAGGCCAAGCCAGAGAAACAGGCTGAAGAATATCCTCATTATTTCTAATCATGTCTGAATGAGCTCTTCTGCCTATAAGTAACACAATGATCTAGGATCAGTCTTAGACAAATAAAACCACATTGTGTTGGCTGCTAACAAGGCACAGAGAAATATACCCTATTTTCCTGTGAGAAGTTGACAGTAACCACCATTGACACCTGTGACAGGTGAGCAAGCTAAAAATAATTACCCAAGTGCATAGCCCATCTGTAAAAAAATTCATTGTTCCTACAGTAGTCTCTGCAATGTAGTTGCATGTGCCCTAAATTAGTGATTTAAGACACAAGTGCTGCTTTTCTAGAACAAAACATGCGACAGGGTTTTGTGCTTGCCAACATGAGCTGCATCCCAATGATACAGGTTTATAAATCCAGAAATCAATAAACAGATGTTACATATTGACAAACCTTTGACTGTACTTTCCTCCATATTCTAGTTTTATGCCTGTTTGAGCAATATAAACGGTTATCAAAAGGCTTGCCATAATTGTGCAAGATTTATTAGTTTCTATTTTCTTGCTATGATAGTTTTAGCAGTATTCAATGAACACTGGTTGACCTGCCTGGCAAAAATATTAGTTTCTACATACACATTATAAGAATTCTGGTGAAGTGATGGTCCAAATACTGGGCCTTCTTCCTTAGCTTCCATAATTCTACATTATAGTTTGTCTCCATAAAGCAGGGGTTCCCAACCAGGGGTTCTCACAAGACGATATTCCAGGGAGTGCGAAAACTTTTCAAAATTGTAGTGTATATGCATAGTTTGTTGTTGTCATTTTGAACTTTTCTAAGGGATGTGAGAATATATCAGAAGCGTTCTAGGGATGCAGGGTATAGAAAAGGTTGGGAGCCGCTGCCATAAAGGAATTGCCTTACAAACGTATCCATCAAAAGAATAGCCTTAAAAACTTAATAATTCATAACTCATAACATTACATACTTGATAAATTCCATAAAAAGAATACAACTTTTTCCATAAAAAATAGGATTACAAAAAAGGAAGGAAGGAAGGAAGGAAGGAAGGAAGGAAGGAAGGAAGGAAGGAAGGAAGGAAGGAAGGAAGGAAGGAAGGAAGGAAGGAAGGAAGGAAATCATACATAAAGGCTAAGGCTTGGCTTAGCTTACATATGGAGTGAAGTGGTATTTAAAGAATAGATTTCACCTTTTTATTCTGAGAGTAAAAAGTTAGATTTTAAATAGTTTATGTAAGCTATTCACAATACAGATTATGCTTAGAATCCCCATATCAGCCACCCTTAAAAAGACATGCACAGATAAATGATCAATCTACTTTCACTATCAGAACTGAAACTTCCCAAAAGGAACCCAACCTAGTTAGATAGATTGCTGGATGTGGGGTCTTGGAAACAGGAGGGCAGCTGTGGGGTGAGGTTCATCGTATCAGAGGTTAGGAATCTTTCAGCAAAGCTACCTGCTGAGTTAATGTTGCTATAGATACTTAGTACAGGGCTCTTGCTCTTTTCATCTTGGTAGAGAGGGTGGGAGATTTTTTAAAAAAAATTCTTTTCCATTTTAAATTCTTATTCATTTCACTGTGGTTATAGGCACAAGTGCTAGTTCATTTAAAAAAAGTTGGCATTCTTAAAAGAGACCGTTTGAATGAAAAGAGAAGACGCTTTAACTGCAAGGAGTGGCTCTAGGTAGAAATAGATTCTAAATAATTGAGCAGACAGCATAACAACATGACCGTAGATTTGTCATCAGTGAGTAAATGTATAAAATATTGTATGCAGCACCACCAAGGCAGCCAGCATTCAAGACAGCGTTCCCAAAATAACATCCTTTTTGGTATCCTTGCTCTAAAGTTCCTAGCATGGCTTGCAGAAGTGCTTCCTAGCCAAATCTACTTAAATTCTTGCATGATATATGCCTGGAGCTTGCATGGCTGTCTTCCTTGGTCTTTGCTTAATCTTTTGTTGTCAGCTTCCCTTGCCAAGCTTTGCCTTCCTGCCCAGTTAACTAACTAGTGAATCTCCCAATTTGCACTTGCACTTGCAGGTGTAATTGCACAGTGTGACCCAAGTCTAGAATAAACAAAATTCAGTATAGTTTTAAAAAGCCAGATTCTTAGTGAACAACAATTACTGTTGGTTGTTTACTGCAACAGAATTATACCACTGTTTAAGTTAAGAGAATCTATATCCTGAATGGTCTTGAAGAAAACTGTGACAATAGATAAATAAATGAATACATATGAGGTATCTGCGAATAATCTACAGGCCCATTCCAGCTAAATTTCCCAGAATAACAATGAAATTTCACCTTAGGTGTAAGGACTACAGCAGATCCTCCACTGATACTAACGATAGGTACATGGGTCTGGGATGAGATGAAATCAAGGATCTGTGCCACGGCTTCTGTACCAATGTTGTCCTCAAAGACAATTCCATGGATTTTTGTGCTGGAGAGCATGTCACAGATTTGAGTCAAGAGTGTGCTGGGATTAGTATCATTGACCACCACGGTGACTGGATGGACCTCTAGAGGCATGTCCAGGAAGCTCTGGTATGTTAGTCGGCTCCGGATATGGAGAGAGTATGAAGAGCTACTGAAAACCACAGCCACGTTTACCACAGGTTCCCTGGAGTTTGGCACCGAAGTATCCATTAGGGCAGCTGAACAGCCCAGCACCATAGAGAGCACCAGGGTGTTTGCCAATGTTCTGTCCATGGCCTTTAAGGAGCCCCTGAAAGTCAGAACAAAGATAAATTATGGAAGGCATCCAAGGGAGGAATGAGTGGAAAGTACAAAAGATGTGTTTTATCAGTTGGAGCTTGGGAAACTATTTTACACAGTGTATTTCAAGAAACCTGACTACGCCTCTTAGCATACAGGACCCAGAGAGTCAATCACAGCTCTAGGATAAGTACATTTATTTATTTATATCCTGTTTTTATTATTACATACCAATATTCCTTCCTCCTCCTATTTTCCCCATAACAACCACCCCGTGAGGTACATTGAGTTGAAAGAGAGTGACTGGTTCAGAGTCACCCAGCCAGCTTTCATGCCTAAGACAAGACTTGTTGAGAAACACCCAGGCTGACAGGGAGCAGGGATCAAGCACAGAGTTAGCCTGGAGTCACTGCATAACCACAACAGTAGCTAGCTTAAACTCTATATGTGTAGGTCTGGTTTTTTGCGCCTGATATGACTAGATGATTTCCCAATTTCTAGTCTGGTGCCTTAACACTAGATTAAACTGTAATCTATGATTTTCTAATGTTGAATAGTTTCTTATTGGACACTTACAATTTTATCTGTAGACTTAGGAGAAAGTCTTAAATAAGTATCTAAGAATATGTAATGGGCGAAGCAGTCCTGAGTTATAGAAAAATAAATTGTATCAAATACTACTAAGCTGTTTGCTTCTGAGATTGATACCCCATTATTTCTCCATTCTCAAGGAGAATGGTTCCCAATCCTAGCCCAACATTTGAACTATCTAGCATTTCAACCCTACTGACTCCCATTCTCTCCTAATCCGAGACACTTGCCTCATCCATCCCTGCTTTTTATAATTAAGGATGTCCTCTGTTCATCAAGTTTCTCTCCCTCATTTCTATTTTCCTTATTATTTTTCATTCATCCTTATTAAGGCTTTTCCTTTGTTTTATCAGTTGAACTATTGCAATGAACTCTACATAAAAATGCCCTTGAAGAGTATCAAGAAGCCTCAACTGGTACAGAATGCAGCAGCATGGGCAGTTATGTGCACTCCTAGAAGAGCGCATGTTATACCTCTACTCCATGAGCTGCACCGGTTGCTAGTTTGCTTTCATGTCTAATTTAAATGCTGGTTTCGATCTATTAGGCCCTTCATGGCATGGGACCAGGATATCAGAGAGCTTGCCCCTCCCCAGTAATATAAGCCTGTCCCAAGAGATTTGGCAGAAAAGACATGCTATCAGTACCATCAGCTGGGAACTTTCTTTTGGTGGGTCCCAGGAGACATGCCTTCTCTGCCATGGCATCAGCCTTATGGATCATTCTTCCCCCCCCCAAAAAAAATAGGTTAGATCCATCCCTTTTGACATTCCAAGGCCCTCAAGACCTGGTTATATTATGGCTCCATTGCTGAGCTGGCTATTCTTATCCTCTTTCCCTAGGATTTGTATTTCTGTTTTTTTATACTATTTATACTTTTAAATGATGTTTATATTTTTATATTTGTTGGTTTTATATATGTTTTTATTTGTTTTTGTACACTACCCAGAGTCACCTTTGGTGAGATGTGTGACTAGATAAAGTATGGAGGGCCTCTTGACGTTCTGTATTCTGTTTTACAGTCACCTTTTATACAATTATATTATTCCATCTATTGCCCCCTCAATAGTAATAGTAATAGTAGTAAAGTTGGAAGGGACCTTGGAGGTCATCTAGTCCAACCCCCTGCTCAGGCAGGAAACCCTACACCATTTCGGACAAATGGCTGTCCAATCTCTTCTTAAAAACTTCCAGTGTTGGAGCATTTACTGCTTCTGGAGGCAGGCTGTTCCACTGATTAATTGTTCTCACTGTAAGGAAGTTTCTCCTTAGTTCTAGGTTGCTTCTCTCCTTGATTAGTTTCCACCCGTTACTTCTTGTCCTGCCTTCAGGTGCTTTGGAAAATAGCTTAATTCCCTCTTCTTTGTGGCAGCCCCTGAGATATTGGAAGATTGCTATCATGTCCCCCCTCGTCCTTCTCTTCATTAAACTAGACATACCCAATTCTAGCAACTGTTCCTTATATGTTTTAGCCTCCAGTCCCCTAATCATCTTTGTTGCTCTTCTCTGTACTCTTATTAGAGTCTCTTCAATTCTCTTGCTATCTTCATATTTTGGCTACTGCTTCACCAATTTTTTTCTTTTTGTATTCTGAAAATCACTTTGTCTATTGAAGAAGCTATCACTTTCTCACTCTACTTCCAACTTCAAATCCAGTTCTAGTTTGTGGTTCTTTTGAGCTTATTTCAATTGTTGGGAGGTGTCAAAAGATGTAATTGTGGAGTCCTTGGTGCTCTCTGAACTTGATGGTTTTCTTGCAGACGTTTCACTAGCAAACTAGGTAACATCGAACTAGGTAACATCATCAGTGCTAGCACTGATGATGTTACTTAGTTTGGTAATGAAATATCTGTAAGAAAACCATCAAACTCAAAGAGCATCAATGACCCCCAGTTCAACCCTGAGGTACAAATATTTTTTTCTAAGGGTATAATTCTTGTTCGCCAGTGCTTTTTTTGTTAAAAAAAAAAAAAGGTGCCGGAACTCACACACGTCATACAACCTGCCCTGCCTACCCTACAAGGTTCCATCCAAAAAAGGTGCCGGAACTCCGTTCTGGGCGTTCTATGACAAAAAAAGCCTTGCTTGTTCCTGTTATGCTTCTCTTGAACAGCCTCACAGCTGCCCATGCTTTAAAATCCAAAAAAGGCTCACGAGAGGGTGTCTGTTGTGTGGTGAAGTGCAAGGAAAGCAAACTATTGTCTGACAGAATCAGAATCATTCAGGACAAATACTTTAATGTATTATTAAGCCCCACATTCCCACATCCTCCCAGAAGAATTCCATAAAATTCTATTCTTCTATTTTCTAAACATCTTTTCTGTGGGAAAAATAATCCATCCAGTCAAATGAGAAAACATTCTTTTTCTATAGACCAGAATCTTTCTTTGGAAGGTCAGGGGTGAGGCTGGTGTCTGTAGTGAGTGAAGCTGTTGCATCTCTCTGTCCTTCCCCATCCTTCCTTCCTTTCTGTCTTTCTGCCTTTTTCTCTGGCTAGATTAGACCTGGTAACAATTTTCTAAGCTGATAAAATAGGGAGATGTCAAGTGGGGCTGCTGCTATTTCTCTATTGTCTGAGCTCCATTTATGCAAGAGGAACTTTCAGACTTCCCTCCCCCTAAATGGTTGAATAGAGCTAGCTATAGTTTCTTTCTGAATAAAAGCTCACATTGTTATTCTGATGACCTGTGAAAGGATCCCCACTGAGCAACACAAGAACAGCTTTTCTTTTTAAAAAATTAAGCTGTGCATATTTATACGGTTAAATAGAGAATGGCTTATAATGGATGCTTCTCCCATGATAATCTTTTACTCACTTCATTATCCCATTAAAAAGAGTAAAAATTAGGCTGACTAATCTGCTCCCTTTCCTCCATTTAGGCTGCTTTACTAGCCTCTTCTCTCTTCTCTCAGATACACACACAAACAAAAAGATACAGCAACAGAATTCCAGCACTCTGGGTACAATTATTACATCAAGAAAAAAAATTCAAAACCCACTGCAGTAGTGAACGCCTGCATTTATTTTCCAAAATGTTTTAATCAATTACTTTCACAAAAGTTCATGCGGCTGAACACACACCCACAAAAAACCTTAGCTCCCCCCCCCCGCTTTTTTCCTAAGTTTGAATCCTTTCCCTTCTCAAGTTCCCTCTATTGCCACTCAGTGGCCAATCTCGAAGCTTCCGCTTTGTACAATTTCCTGTAGATTCACAAAACCCTTTGAACCAATGCACTCAGCTCATGTTTTATTTCTTTATATTCTGTCTGAGAACTATTATGCTGTCCATTTTTATTCCCTATTCTTATCCTGGCTACTATGATGCTTTTACAGCTATGAAGTCTTTTTCTCTCTCCCTCACCTCATCCAGTGCAAAGTTCTTGAGGATAAATTGGCTGATGCTTTGTACACTGAATAAAGTGTACATATTTAAGGTAAAAAGACAATATTTCCTTATTCATCTCAATGATAACACTTCTGAATGGAAGCGTTGTCACCAGGTAAATACCCAGTACCCTGGAGTGTTACCCTCTTTCTGTGCAGATGGGAAGAGTAGTGCATTTTAGTTCATATCAGTGGGAACATTAATATCCAATGAAGCCTCTTTTGCTGAATTATTGTAGCAGGGATGCAAATGTAAAAGCCCAATACGTGAGAACAATAATCTAGAACAGCTTTTCTCAGCCTTGGCAACTTTAAGATCTGTGGACTTCAACTCCTAGAATTCCTCATCCAGTGTACTGGCAGCAGAATTCTGGAAGGAAGGTTGCCAAGGTTGAGGACATTGTTCTAGAGCAGTGGTGGCGAACCTATGGCACAGGTGCCAGAGGCGGCACTCAGAGCCCTCTCTGTGGGCACACGTGCCATTGCCCTAGCCTTGCCTCCCCCCACGACCCCCTCACCAGCAGCCTCCCTAGAGGAGAGTCGCCCCCAAGCGTGGCCCACGCGGAGCAGTGCAGCCAAGGACATGGCTACTAGGCAGCGTAGACAAGACTCTGCCCTCATGCCTCATCATGCACAGTTGATGCTGCAGGGCGCGGGCAGAAGGTGTGGCCGCCATGGCGCTGCTGGGCAATCTGTGGCAGGCCCTGGAGGCAGTGAGTGGCCCTGCGGGCAGGCGGGGTGGGGGCGGGGCAGGGCCAGTTTTTGGGCACTCGGTCTCTAAAAGTTTTGCCATTACTGTTCTAGAGGATCCGGGATTATATCCTGATGGCTGATAACTAAACTTAAACTGTAATATCAAGAAAATTTCCACATTTCCCTCAACATGGTAGCAGTTTTACATTATTTTCTGATGAGTTCAGTAATCATAAGTAACGATTTTAAATGCATTTATATTTTATTTATGTAAATTTATTTCTTTATTTCAAGTATTGATATGGCTGCCAACCAACATCACATGGCTCAGTGTTGTACAATGGAAATAAACAATATCTAATTAAACAAAATAAATTAAAATTATATTTCCTCTTTAAGGGGGGGAACCTTGTGGTGAACAACAGCTCCTTCCTCCTTTACATTTATTCCTCTCCTTGTACCCTTGTTCAAAAGAGAAAAAAGAAAAAGAATAAATAGAAACTAAAAGCAAGCCAGAAGTATTTAATATTTTTATGACCAATCTCTCTCATTCTCTCTCTCTCTGTGTGTGTCATGTCACTAGATGTTGGGATTAAGGGATGTCAAAATTTATGTATGTAAGAAAATGTATATGACCACTCAAGTTACTCTCAGTTACTGCAGGCGACTTACAAGGATAAAAACAATAAAAAGCAATGACCCCCACCCCCTTGTAGAAATTTATGAAGAAGGAAAATATTAGAGGGCTACAGCAGATTGAATATGCAGAAAGCCCTGAAAGATAAGTAGGATATTTTGAGAGAAAGGCAAGGAGAAAAAAATTGGAGTACATATAGACAAATGTTGTTGGTTATAGGTTAAGAAAATTTGTGGGCAACTTATAGGGTTGTCAGCAGCACTGTGCAGGGAATGTGACAGTAGTGGAAAAAACCACAAAGTTATTTATATTTCTATTGTTAAAATCCAGACTCTTTTTTGTTATTTTTTTTCCAGCCCAATGGAATATTGGAAGGAAATTATGTAAAGAGACTTGCTATTTCAGATAGTGTAGGTCATAATGAATAGTAATAAATTATTATCATCACTATATTGCCATCTTGTGCCGTATATTCTTGTAGCTTAATTTTTTGTTGGAAATATAGGAAACTGCTATTTGTTTAAAATGATTATATTCTTTTCAGCATGTTGCCTAAGTGTCTAAGCAACTAATATCACAAATTCTAAAACCAAAAATATAATATTAAACCAGCTGATCATAAACACACATACCTGTCATCCATCTAACTGCCTCAGTTTGCTTCATGATAAAGCTGGCTCTCCATTAAATCCATCAGGGCTGATGTCTTCTGGATTATCGCAGATGTAATTTTTTAAAAACTCTACATGTTGTTGTCTTTATGATCAGAAGAAAATCTGGGAAAAGATGGTGGATTGGATTTAACATCTACATGATTTATGCTGAATAGCCTGAATAACCTCTTAACCTCTCTCAGCTAGGAAGAGGCCTGGAATGGGCGAAGAGATACAGGGGGGAGGGGTTGGGCTGAACTTGCTTTCAATGTACCTTATTCTCATTTCATTGGACATAGATCTGAGTCCTGATTGGATTTGGCCCTCCTGTTATTTCCATCTGCCATCCACATTAGGCTATCTGGAAACATTTCAGCAGCCCTTAATACAACTAGTTAGAGCAAGTACAGTCTAAATTTTGCAGAGCACCCATATTTGCTGGCAAGATACAAATTACAGTTATGTATTTTCTGCACGTAGAAATTAAATGACTGATTCACCAAATTAAAATGTTCTAAACCACTGTAAAGTCCATGCAAATATATTTTCCTCCTAAGGAAAATAATGAAGAGTGAATAGCTTGCAGATGCTTTAACAGAGGTGGTTACATAAAAGTGATTGTCCATCCATTGTAACATTTCTGAAATTATGTTTTTAGAATACCCATGAAACATACTAGAATTGCCACAAAAGTTATTAAACTTCTGGGCATTTACAATATTAAAATTTTCACATGGAACTAGGCATAAATGCTTTATGGAGTTTCCTACAATTGGCTTGAATGGAAGAAATGAGATATTCCTGTTGGGAAAGGAAAATGTTTTCCACAAAGTAAGCAGCAAAATCTAACTAGTATATATATTAAATGTGATAAACATGCTGCTTTGATTTATTTCAAAGAATCCAATACAGATCTCTTTGCATGTTTTCTTCTCTTCTGCTCCTGATTACTAGTTGTGTTCTTTTATAAACCAATTAATCTGAACAGTATTAGATAAGATATCAATGCATTAATTTCATATCGTCTTCTCCAAGATGATTTGCATTGTTTTTTTCTTCCCAGAGAAACAAAGAGATATTAATTAGTCTTATAAAAGTTCTGAGACTTAGGTTAGGCTACTGAGAGTGATTAGCTTTCTGGCCAATTGAAACCTGACATAATCTTTGTCACAATACCATTCACCATGCTGGCTCTCTGGGGTCTAGGACAACTCAGTGCAGCCCACTCGCCACGGCCAACTTGGCACAGCCACTGTGCCACAGCCAACTCGCTGTGGGACAAAACTTACACTAATATCGAAGAAATAGTGGAATATAATCATTTTTAAAAAGGATGCAAAAGGAGGGACAAAATGAATGTGAATGACAGAAATTAAAATAATTTTAAAATTATTTTAAATACTTGAATTGTTGAATTGTCCTGCAGTGAGTTGTCCTGTGGTGGGTTGGCTATGGCGAGTTGGCCACAGCAAGTTAGCTGTGATGAGTTGGCTGCACCAAGTTGTCCTGTTCCAGACCCTCTGTCCCAAGTTACAATAGTCATCTCAGTGCAACACAACCTTTATCTTTCTTTCTATCTGGTCTTTTTGGTTTTGAACCCTGAGAAAGAAATGAGAATTCCCCCACTCTTCCTACTTCACAATCTAAGAACCTAGAGAAGTATAATCTGGTGAAATTGGATGGACTGCAATAGTATTTGCTAGAGAAAAATGAGAAAATGCAGGGCAATTGCTGAAATAAAAAGTACTAAATCGATGTTGGGAGTAATCAAGAAAGATCAGGAAGAAAGTTAAGAAATGAGACATTGTTTCTTTCAGTTTGCACCTATCTGGAAAGCATGAAGGAATCTAGGCTAACAGGAGAATTCAAAAGTGACAGGAAAGAACAGAGGAAGAAATTCATTTGAAAAACATATCTTGCTAAAGTTCAAATGAAGACAAAAAAATAAGCACTTTTGAATTCTATATATGGACAACTCAAATCCCATTAACACAAACAATCATATCCACCATCAAATGTGATAAAATTTAGGCAAATTAATTTTAGCCAACGGGGTGGGAAGTAGTATCAGGTTTGGCATTTTCTCTAAAGCTATCATTTGAAAAAAGAACAGATATATCTCAAAATTGTCTTCTACTAGGCCTAGTTTTTATTTTAAAGTTAAGATGCTCCACATTTTACAGAGAGGATCCACGTTTCCTTACAACCCAACAAAACGCAGGCAGATAAATGTGACTTGAAACAGTGTGACATATTCTGTTTCAGATACACATTCACCTATCCTTCCTTCCTTCCTTCCTTCCTTCCTTCCTTCCTTCCTTCCTTCCTTCCTTCCTTCCTTCCTTCTCACTCACCTACATACACACATGCTTCTCATTTTTTGGGTGCTAAATTAAAATCCCTCTTTTTATATCATAGATGAGAGAAAGAAATGATAGATGATAGATATGCATGTATGCATTTATATTTCCGTCTCATAGCTCCTCTTTCTTTTCCCACTTGCCCTTTGCTTCCAAGGAGTTCAATGCCCTTGTGCAATTTTACATCCTTTGAAGTGAAACTGTGGAGGACTACTGTCTAGCCTCTTCACTTTCCCTTCCTCCTCTGTCCCCCATGGTGTCAGCTGCCACCGCACAGCCTGTCTTCCATTCAGTTGTATACAGTATGTCTGAGTAGATGTATTTCACAGTCTAATAGGTACCTTCAACTCCATCAATGAAAGATTAAGCAGCAGCAATAATAAAAAATTTAAGGCACTTTAAATTTTTTATTTATTTATTTTTTTTAATTTGGATAAGAAATGTTAAATTCACACAAGCGCAAAATTTAAGAGAGAATTTTTATAAGATGTTTTATAGATGGCACCTTGATCCAAAGAAAATGTCCATTATGTACCCTAATCTGCAGCCGAAATGCTGGAGATGTGGACATTTGGATGCTACTTATTATCATACTTGGTGGACGTGTAAGCATATAAAAGCTTTTTGGATTAAGATATGGTGGAATATCCAAAGAATTTTTAAACGGAGGGTAAAATTTACTCCGCAATTATTTTTACTAGGTATTGTTACTGATTGTGATGCTAAGGAGGTTATATTGATGTTAAATTTGATTACAGCCGCTAGGCTGTTAATAGGGCAATATTGGAAGAAGGAATCCTTGCCTACTTTGCAAGAGTGGTTTCATAAAGTTTCCTATCTGGCAGAAATGGCAAAGATTTCGGCTTTTTTAAAGGAGCAATCTCAAGAGAAATTCTTTGCAGTATGGGAAAAATGGATAAATTTTATACAATATAATTTGGATATGGAAAAATATCATTTAGCTTTTTTATAACTTGTAATGATTGTTTTTTCCTTCTTTCTTTCTTCCTTTTTTCTTTAAGTATTATTACTTATATATTTTTTTATATATATATGTTCTATTTTTCGTCTACTTTTTTCTTTTTTCTCTCTCTCTCTCTTTTCTTTTTCCTTTTTTTTTCTCTCTTTCTTAGTACATATTATTCATTTTAAAGTTTATGTTATGCATATTATTATTATACATATTATTATATATATTATTATTAGGATCTTTATTATTTTTACTAATTATCTTATAAATTGTAAACGTTATTTTTTAAAATTTGTTAAATAATCCTATATTCAGTTCTGGGAAGTCGGGGGGGGAGGGTGGGGTGGTTTGGGAGGGGGGGGGATGTTTATTTGTAAAATTTTTGAAAAATTTCAATAAAAAAAAAAATTTAAGGCACTTTAAGGGAAAGAAATTAGATTTAATGACTTTGGAGAATGCAGCACTTAAAGCTGCCAATCATGGGTATACAAAATACAAACAAGTTTGGAAAAAGATTCTTCAGCTAGTCTGGGGCCCTGATCCAAGCAATTCATACAAAGGCACTGCAAGTGAGGGTTGTAATTGTTATGAGAAAACAGCAATATTACAGTGATGTTTCCTACATCCAATGCACCAAAGTCCACATACTCATGAACCTGGAAATCTTACAGGCATGTACAAGTTTAAAAAGACATCCTTAAGTGCATTTGACCTCTGGAAATGCATCTATGCAATTTTACTGGCAGCAGTAAAGGAGTGATTTCATTTTGCTATTGTCCAGGATGTTTTTTGACTTCCCAGTCTAACTGTAGAATTCCCAGGTGGTCCTGGGCATCAACCTGCTTTTTTGTACCTTTGCATTACATATTTGCAGTAGAAAACAGCAGCATTAAAGTTCACTGTTTCCCATAACAATCGTAACAGATAGGTATGTCCTAAGTATGCACTGAATAGCCTAAAGCAGTGGTGGTGATCCTATGGCACGGATGCCAGAGGCGACACTCAGAGCCCTCTCTGTGGGCACGTATGTCATCACCCCAGTCCTAGGCATTCAGCTGGGTTTTATAAAACCTTTTTGCTTTAGGCCTCCGCCACCGTGTACAAAAAAAAAAAAAAAGCTTCAATCAATTAGTCAATTTCAACTTCCTGCGGGGGAAAAAAAGATCTTGCGAAGTTGAAATTGATTGATTGAACTTTTTAGTCCCACCCAGTCTGCTGTTACCACTGCAGCCATGCCCACCAATGGGCCATGCCCATCCAATGGGCCACACCCATCCAATGGGCCACACCCACCTGGCACCTGACAATGCATAAGTGAGTTTTGGGTTGCAGTTTGGGCACTCAGTCTCTAAAGGTTCACCATCACTGGCCTAAAGGCTGGCTAACTCCTGAAGCAAAGTAAGCCCTTTACCTCAAGTGATGGATTCATAAGGATGGCAGGCTGCAGCCCAAATGATTCACTTTCCACACAGATCTTCAGTGTGTTGTTTGCAGGCAAGATGACCAGAGTGCTGCTTTGGCTCAGTCTTCCTGACTGTCTCTCCCACAAGTGCCTTACTTGCTCTGATGCCCGCATTCAGGTCAAGATGGTAGAAGCTGACAGTGGTGTAATGTGGAGCAGTGGCCTTCCACTTTAGCTGACTGGTCCTTTCAGACTTCATCAGTTAAGCCACAAGGATACATGTTGTCTATGTCAACCCACAGCTGAAGAGCCTTCATTCATCAAATGATGATTAAAAAAAATCTATAAATGATCAGTTAGATTTGAGAATATATTTTCCCTTTCCCCCCTC